ATCCCTGGAATCTACTCCCTGCGAATCGAACGGTAGGAAAATTTGTGAAGGTGAGCCCTACCGATGAAGGGCGAACTATGATGACGAATATCCGTCTGGGCCCTTTTCGCTAAACCGCCAGATCCGCCTGCAGCGAGAAAACAGTATAAACTACTTCGTGTGTGTAACTGTGTGTATGACAGCGTATGATGTGATGTCTTCTGTACATGTTATTGATTGTCACTTCACATCTACTAGAGCTCAGTTCATTAATATGATGATAGAACACCACCAGTACATTCGGAACGGCTGCGATGATTTTCTCTCTCCACCAGTACAGTATATATCATACTCTACTTGTGTTGTCGTGACTGTGCTATCGTATATACAGTTACTCCCTGTGTGGCTGTCATTGTTTGTGATGTGGAGTTTGGATACTGGGTGTGTGGGGAGAGTTGCCTAGCCATAAAAGACTCTTTAACCCACCGCCCCAGTTCTCAAGGCTGGGCACCCAGTGTCCTGCTCTCATGTCATGTTATGTGTATTTGTGTATGTGTTTTTATGGATATTTTGGGATTTGTGGATATGTATTGGTGGTGGTTTTTATTTATTTATTTCTATAATTATACCTATGGCTGGTATGCTATGAACTATAATTTCATGTACTGCCACTGTTAGTGCAAAGAGATAGTGAGTAAGTAGAGAGCAAAGGAAAGGAGGAGGGACCTACTAATGTTTGGACCATCGATCCTCGCTGGGCCCTCATGCGGGACACCTAGTTCATGATGTCCAGAAGTTCATTCTGCTGCAGTATCTGGAGCATCACGCCTATTGCTATGAAAGTCCCAGACCTTCTACACCAGCACCGCATTTGGAACACCACCATAAACTAATGCAGTGGAATTACTCTTTCTAGGACACCTCTTTCTTCCCCCAAGAATAGTTGCTTTCATGCAATTATACAGGACACTTTACAAAATAAAGACATTATAGTCTAGTACTTCAGTAACCCTCGGCACGCATGCGCATCAAGGGTTGTTGTAGTTGCCATTGATGTAGTCAGAGTACCCAGTGTGACCAGCAGGAGTGTGAAGATGGACTCTAGTGAACTCATCTGCAGCAGATCGAGTGAGATGTTCTCTGAAACTCCACTAGCTGTGACTTACTGGCTAGAATATCGATGTATCTGTTCTTGCTCCTGTTTCACTTGAGGCTGGCGGTCATAGTGTATGGCTGGACATCCATCTCCAATACCACAAGGCTCTTGCCTATCGTAGCTTCAAGACACCTACAAGGCCCCCACCAGAACAAACTGCAAACAGCAAAGGTAAGGTGAGGGGATGAGACAGTGGTAACTAACTCTGTGGGAAAGGATAAGAGCAACCTCCAAATCAAAACAGAGTCTACCTGCACAGACCAGCTAAAGTTGTGAAATAGTATTATTTTGTCTTCACACCACCTTCCGATAACATTCTCATGCACTTAGTACAGATTCCCTTACATAGGCAGGGGTGTCAATCTCAAAATAAACAGACTATTAAAACCCATGTAGAGTCAACAACTCAGGAGGCATTCCAGCCTCTTACCCCATGGGTGTACCCTAGCTCCAGATTGACACCATTGCACAGGGCTACTGGAGGTTCTCTGAGTGAACTTTAGGGCAAACAGCTCGAGTGAAACACTTTAGGGCCTAGTACTACAAATGCAAACAGCAAAGGTAAGGTGAGGGGATGAGACAGTGGTAACTAACTCTGTGGGAAAGGATAAGAGCAACCTCCAAATCAAAACACAGAGTTTATACCTGCACAAACCAGCTAAAGTAGTGAAATAGTTGTCTTCAGGTAAGGTGAGGGGATGAGACAGTGGTAACTAACTCTGTGGGAAAGGATAAGAGCAACCTCCAAATCAAAACAGAGTCTACCTGCACAGACCAGCTAAAGTTGTGAAATAGTATTATTTTGTCTTCACACCACCTTCCGATAACATTCTCATGCACTTAGTACAGATTCCCTTACATAGGCAGGGGTGTCAATCTCAAAATAAACAGACTATTAGGACCCAAGAAGAGTCAACAACATCTACTGTGATGAATGCATAACTGGTTTTCCTTTTAGAATAATAATGAGAACCACCTCAAAATACAATGCTTAGCACAACAAGAGCACAATAAATAATTACCACAGGAAGTTTTTCCATACCATACATAAAAGAAGCTATAATACAATCATCATTGGAAGAAGTGTGCAGGAAAATTAATGTACAATAGATGTGGGTCACTTCACGGTGGAGAAAGGAACAGATAAAGATGTTTGGGTACAAAAATCTATTTCAAATTCAAAAAACTAGCAGAGGAGCAGTTTAATCACTAGTCAGTCGTGTCTTCCGGTGGCTCGGATGTGAGAGGGGGCGGGGCAGAAGGGGGCGGGGCAGAGGTGGAGCCAGCCGTCAGGTAGCCAGCTATACCAGTAGTGGGACCTGAGGAGACAGAGAGAACAGTGAGGTTACAATTCCACACTTGTTGCTGGATACACTCTAGTTGCAGCACTAGAGTGATTCAATTTCACAATTCTTGCTGGGCACACATTTTGTAACAGTTTTCTTGATTCGATAGGAAATTAAAGGCGGTTGTATATCGACTATATCTGTCTTCCATCCAGCCTCTTAGGGGAAGAATTTTACCCTACTGTGCTAGAATTGTGACTATGTGTGTTTAGAATGATCTCGAACTGTTTTATATTATTATAGTGAATTCCTTCCAGCAACAAACTGGTCTAGGTGGCATATTTACTCAAAAGAATTCAGTAGACAAGGTAAGCCTTGCTAAGGGGAGGAATGGCATGGAGAACACATTTCCTGTTAATATGACTGGTTCCATAAAGAACGGAGGGCAAGATGGGGAGAGTATTATTGTACATACCTGTGAGGTAGCCGGCTACCGGGGTGCTGGAGATAAAGAGGTCGTGTTTCTGGTCTTTGTAGGCTGACCACACCGGAGAGCCGTTCAACATCTCCAGAATCTGTTAATCATCACACACATACAGAGAGACTCACAACTATAGGCCCTGGAGTATATACATACTGTACGTAGGTGCAAGCTCTTATAGCTGAATGGGTCAGAGCCAGAGTGAGCCAACCCTCAATATACAACTCTTGCTGGTTTTTGTTCTAGAACAAAAAGAATAGAAGAACATTTGAAGGAAAACCGGCAAGAGTTGTATGGCATTCTTTTGAATAGTCCTGTTGTTGGTGTTGTTGAAGGTACCAGTGTGCGGGAGGTGAGCGAACTAATTATTGAGGGTTGGCCCACTCTGACTCTGACCCCTTCAGCTATGCAAAAGAATTGCTATGCAACAAAGGCTACCTGGCTATAGTTTTCTGTAACTATGCACACACACCTATTTCCTCCTGCTGGCTATAAATCCAGGGCTTAATCTATGCTATCACACTATACAAAACTCCCTATCATAGCCACATATACATCTTATACCACACCAATCCCTACGTATGTATACTAAGTACTACACAGTACTTAGTGATATATACTTTCTCTCCATTGGCGAGGTCTTTGGCCATGAGTTTGAGGCTCTCTGCAATAATGGCCTTGGTGGCCGACGGCTTGTCGCAGTCTATCAGGTCCCGTTTCAGTAGCTCCAGGAGGTATGGAATCAGGTCTGCATTGATGGCCTACACAACAGATATATTCACAGTGCAATGGAGGGTTAAAAACTTTAGTGCATAAGATCATCTTAGTGCATGCAATGTGTTACAAGAACGCATAATACCAAGTTTCGTGTGACTCTAGTCTCACGCAACAAAACTGTGCAGTGTATGGTCTTAATTTAACGTTCAACAAAAGTACGAAACAAGCACAGAATGAGCACAGATGTACTCGTATCACATACTGGTGAACTACGGTGCGTGCTAGCGGGCTATACACGCCAGAGTTACACGTTACTACATGGATCATCTTAGTGCATGCAACGTGTTACAAGAAGAACCCATCATATGTACCAGTAAATTGAAGTTTCGTGTGACTCTAGTGTCACGCAACAAAGCTGTGTCGTGTATGGTCTTAATTGAACGTTCAACAAAAGTACAAAACAAGCACAGAATGAGCACAGAAACAGCAAAAGAAAACAGGACACAGTTGCAAAGTGATGAAAGTCATCAGAACATAAATGTTAGGTTGAAAGAAGAAAGAGTGAGAGAAATGCAGGAGTGGGCGGGGTTTTGTAATGGTTACCTGGACGACCAGTTCAGCAGGGCAGAGTTCAAAAAGTTTCTTGATGGTCTCGGCACATGTGTGAATGATGTCACCTCTCCTCCTCATCGCAGCCATCAGCGGAGTGATTGCGTCACACTTGGCCATCGTACGAACACACACCTACCAGGGGAGGAGGAGATGCAAGAATGCCGTTAGAGCAGATAACTTTCAACGAAGAAAACTCACACATATTGCAGGTTTTCTAACCATCTGTGATATATTATGGGTGGGGGAGGGATACTAGGGTATTGCAGAACCAGCTACAAGCGGAAAATTCGTGTTAGCTACCGAATCAGGGAAGTTTCTTCCTCAAAGTATATATATACCCTGCTTTACAGTGTGTAGCTCCGACATTACAAATCTCCCTATATACTGAGGAAATTTTGTGAAGATGTCGCACTATAAAATTTGTTTGCTTTGATGATGTCTCACTATAAAAACTTTCACTTTTTTGACGTCTCACTATAAAATTTGACGTCTCACTATAACTTTTTGATGTTTCACTATAATTATTAACCCTCGGCATGCATGCGCAGCGAGGGTTACGGTAGTTGGGTCTGTCTGTGTGTCTGTCTGTCTGTCTTTTCATTTCACAATTGGGCAGCCTTTATATACAGTATATATATACCCATTCCTCCTAAGAGGGGCACTCACATCACTATCAGCCAGGACGTGGATGACCAAGGCACAGGAGCGAGGGATGATGTTATTGGTGGCCTTCATGCGACCGAGGATCCTGGGAATGTGGCCCAGAGGAGGCACCTGGTCGGCCAGCGTGGTCTGGTGGGCAAACAGACACACACACGCCGTCGTCACTGTCTCCAGGATCTCTCCCTGGACAAGAGGGGGAGGAGACAAGCCAGTGACGGAATAGACAGAGAGAAGGATCAACAAAACCGTTTGTTTTGGGTATATATTCAAAACTGCACAGAAAGAGAAGGCTCTACTGCAACGACCCATTAAAAGACAGAAATGCACACCAATAGATATTTGTGGGACAAAACAGTGAGGTGGGCAATTGCGCAATTCAAAACCTTTGCATCTCTACGAAACAATATACGAGGGAGCCACATGCAAATCCCAAAGCTGTTACCCACATTCCTTTCTCGCACAATTTATAAGAGAAGAAAGAAGTGAGGGAGATGATACGTACATCGGGATTAGAGGACTGAGTTAGTTGTCCAAACTTCTCCAGGAGAGCAATGAGGAACTCTTTTGGTTTCCGTAGTACCCAGGTTGGTTGGGAGATAAACAGTCGGAGGAAGACTCCGCCCACAGCGACCTCTCCCTGAACCTGCGTGTACACCACCTGGAAATCCTCTGGTAGCTGGGAGGAGGGGGAGGAGGGGGAGGAGAGGGAGGAGGGGAGGGGGTGAGAAAGTGAGTAATATCATGATGAGTGGCGCACCACACTAAAGGCTACCATGAGCACAGCAAAAAGTGCCGTACATTACAATTCTACGTAACTTTAATGGATGGATACACCAATGCTGAAATTTTTTTTGAACAGTGTGTTCCTATACCTTCCATAGAATGTCTGGATCCTGCTTCTGCTTCTGGAAGAATCTGGAGCAAAAGGACACACAAATAACTATAGACTGGTCTAGAGTGCACGCACGCTTCGTTTGAATGGACAGTTTGATGTTTTGGATTCACCATCGAACGTGCACTCGTCTACCTCTCCCTCCAAACCTTAACCACCACCACCACCCTCCTTAGTCTCGTACACACACCCCGCCCTCCAGAAAGGAGAAGGGTCTGGTGACTGGTGAATTGAGCAAAATCTTGTTTTTGCTGATTCAGCAGTCTTAGTTTTCAGTAAGCCAATGAAATCGCTGAACGTCACGTCACGTAGATCATGTGACCACGTGTAGAACAAAGTTCCGTGCACGCCACGTAATCGCGAGCATATCCAAAGTAACTTGTGTGTTGTTATGTAACGGTCACAAGGCTGCTGATTCAGCACAACCAAGAAACTGCTCAAATGTCACCAGACCATTTTCTGGCAATTAATGATTAAAACGGAAGTAGGCGGGCAAGCACGCGCATACAAAACAGACGCGCAGCGCGGCAGTGCTCACACTATCGCGTATCGCAGTGTTTGCAGCGTGCTCTGCCCGCCAAAGCCTGCCTCACATGGACTGCTATAACGCGAATCATAGCACAGAGAGCGGGGTCTGGTTATGAGACTACCGTCCCCACACAACTCACTCCTCAGTCATCTGGGCCACCTCCTGGGACACAAGACTACCGTCCCCACACAACTCACTCCTCAGTCATCTGGGCCACCTCCTGGACACAAGACTACCGTCCCCCACACAACTCACTCCTCAGTCATCTGGGCCACCTCCTGGGACACAAGACTACCGTCCCCACACAACTCACTCCTCAGTCATCTGGGCCACCTCCTGGGACACAAGACTACCGTCCCCACACAACTCACTCCTCAGTCATCTGGGCCACCTCCTGGGACACAAGACTACCGTCCCCACACAACTCACTCCTCAGTCATCTGGGCCACCTCCTGGGACACAAGACTACCCGTCCCCACACAACTCACTCCTCAGTCATCTGGGCCACCTCCTGGGACACAAGACTACCCGTCCCCACACAACTCACTCCTCAGTCATCTGGGCCACCTCCTGGGACACAAGACTACCGTCCCCACACAACTCACTCCTCAGTCATCTGGGCCACCTCCTGGGACACAAGACTACCGTCCCCACACAACTCACTCCTCAGTCATCTGGGCCACCTCCTGGGACACAAGACTACCCTCCCCACACAACTCACTCCTCAGTCATCTGGCCACCTCCTGGGACACAAGACTACCGTCCCCACACAACTCACTCCTCAGTCATCTGGGCCACCTCCTGGGACACAAGACTACCGTCCCACCAACTCACTCCCATCATCTGGCCACCTCCTGGGACACAAGACTACCGTCCCCACACACTCACTCCTCAGTCATCTGGCCACCTCCTGGGACACAAGACTACCGTCCCACACACTCACTCCTCAGTCATCTGGGCCACCTCCTGGACACAAGACATACCTCCCCACACAACTCACTCCTCAGTCATCTGGGCCACCTCCTGGGACACAAGACTACCCTCCCCACACAACTCACTCCTCAGTCATCTGGGCCACCTCCTGGGACACAAGACTACCGTCCCCACACAACTCACTCCTCAGTCATCTGGGCCACCTCCTGGGACACAAGACTCACCCGTCCCCACACAACTCACTCCTCAGTCATCTGGGCCACCTCCTGGGACACAAGACTACCGTCCCCACACAACTCACTCCTCAGTCATCTGGGCCACCTCCTGGGACACAAGACTACCGTCCCCACACAACTCACTCCTCAGTCATCTGGGCCACCTCCTGGGACACAAGACTACCGTCCCCACACAACTCACTCCTCAGTCATCTGGGCCACCTCCTGGGACACAAGACTACCGTCCCCACACAACTCACTCCTCAGTCATCTGGGCCACCTCCTGGGACACAAGACTACCCTCCCCACCACAACTCACTCCTCAGTCATCTGGGCCACCTCCTGGGACACAAGACTACCGTACCCACACAACTCACTCTCAGTCATCTGGGCCACCTCCTGGGACACAAGACCACAACACAACTCACCCTCATCATCTGGGCCACCTCCTGACACAAGACTACCGTCCCCACACAACTTTAGTAATCTCACTCACACGTCCGTACACTACCATCTGGACTCGCAAAACCCTACCGGCTGACACCTACTACTTCACGCAGTCCCTCCTGGAAACAGCAACGTCACTCCTCTCCTCAGTCATCTGGGCCACCTCCTGGGACACAAGACTACCCTACCCCACACAACTCACTCCTCATCATCTGGGCCCCTCCTGACCAGACACCCTCCCACAAACTCACTCCTCTTCATTGGCCACCTCCTGGACACAGACTACCGTCCCCACCACTCACTCCCCATCATCTGGGCCACCTCCTGGGACACAAGACTACCGTCCCCACACACACTCACTCCTCAGTCATCTGGGCCACCTCCTGGGACCCACATCTACCGTCCCCACACAACTTCACTCCTCAGTCATCTGGGCCACCTCCTGGGACACAAGACTACCCTCCCCACACAACTCACTCCTCAGTCATCTGGGCCACCTCCTGGGACACAAGACTACCCTCCCCACACAACTCACTCCTCAGTCATCTGGGCCACCTCCTGGGACACAAGACCACCCTCCCCACACAACTCACTCCTCAGTCATCTGGGCCACCTCCTGGGACACAAGACTACCGTCCCCACACAACTCACTCCTCAGTCATCTGGGCCACCTCCTGGGACACAAGACTACCGTCCCCACACAACTCACTCCTCAGTCATCTGGGCCACCTCCTGGGACACAAGACTACCGTCCCCACACAACTCACTCCCCAGTCATCTGGGCCACCTCCTGGGACACAAGACTAACCGTCCCACACAACTCACTCCTCAGTCATCTGGGCCACCTCCTGGGACACAAGACTACCGTCCCCACACAACTCACTCCTCAGTCATCTGGGCCACCTCCTGGGGACACAAGACTACCCTCCCCACACAACTCACTCCTCAGTCATCTGGGCCACCTCTGGGACACAGACTACTCCTGGGACACAAGACTACCCTCCCCACACAACTCACTCCTCAGTCATCTGGGCCACCTCCTGGGACACAAGACCACCCTCCCCACACAACTCACTCCTCAGTCATCTGGGCCACCTCCTGGGACACAAGACTACCGTCCCCACACAACTCACTCCTCAGTCATCTGGGCCACCTCCTGGGACACAAGACTACCCTCCCCACACAACTCACTCCTCAGTCATCTGGGCCACCTCCTGGGACACAAGACTACCGTCCCCACACAACTCACTCCTCAGTCATCTGGGCCACCTCCTGGGACACCTTCTCTCTGGCCTCATCGTTCCAGATCAGCTCTGGGTTCTCCTGAGAGTCTGTGGGGGAGAAAGATATGGGTTCATATCTGATATCTGAACAGTAGGCTATTCTCTGAAACTTGGCCATGCAAACCTCTTCCAGTGCATAGGAAAATATGTACATAAAGGTTTTAAGGAAGGACACCCAGCAAGAGAAAATTTGATCAGGTACGTATGATACACCACCATCTAGAGGAACAACCTTCCATGTCATCAAATAACGTCTCCTCCCTTGTAACTATAGGTGAACTACTGTATACTTTATTTCCTCACATACACTTTTCAAAATACTTAGTCATGTTTCTATCATGTTTCTATCCAGTTAATACCAGTCTACAGCTAGCGAGTCTGACGTACTCTCAAACATGTGGACGCTGGCCTCGGGGCTGTCCCTCATGGCGTCCATGAAGATGACAGGCAGGAACTTCATGAGGACGATCCTGACCTTTGGACCCACCAGCTTGTCGGTGATCATCTTGGCAAACAGGGCAGCCGTCTCCTCCCGGACAGTCGGGTTTTGCGAGTTGCAGAACAGGTCTAGCAGGTATATCAGGGCACCTGCACAAGAGGAGAGGGAACGACATTAATGCTACTGTTGAGAAACTAATCACTCTGTCTCTATCTCATTTTTCATATAGCGGTTGTGTGACAATACATTTTGGTAGTGTGTAATTGCCAAAAGACTGGGCTTGAACAAAATCCACAGACTTAGCAGCTGGATGCAGCCATTACTGGCAGATCAGTATTGTCTGCTGCAACCACAATTGCCAAAACCAACTTTCTGCAAATATTCCAGTTGTGGTTATGGCAATTTTACTGACCTTTGAGGATGCTCTCTTTCACAATCTTAGTGTCAGACATCAGAGCCTGTAGCACCTCCAACACCAGCTCTTGAGCTGTGGTACGAGCAATACAACACATGACAGTCAAGTGATAATACACATAATCATGTGATCCAATAAAATGTCACATGACAAAACACACATGTGGCAGGACTTGATCAAGCACTACTAGTCACGGGACAGCAGCACACTGGGTCATGTGATCAAAGACTAGAGGTCATGTGACTCACAGGAGGGTAGCATGTGGAGGACTAGCAGTACAAACTGGAGGACGTTGGCTTCTGCGATATTCTCCACACATTTCTTGTTCCCTGTCACCGTTGATATGGCCTGCAAATAGTATGGGGGCAATACTATAAAGTGGCCTACCATAGAATGGCAGAAGATGACAGCATAGCTAGCAGTACAGATGGTCACTACACCTCTAATAAAACTTTGGCAAATCGCTCAAGAGCAACTAATGTTCCACGAGTGGGGCATGTTAAAACCAAAATAGCTGTGAAATGTATATATTCTCTCAACATTTAGGTTTTTAGTAGAGAAAAGCTTCCTGAAGTATTACTATTACTAGGGGCATACCTGTAGAGCCAGTCTCTGGAGTTTGGCAGCTCCCTGGATACTGAGGAGAGAGAAGAGGAGTTTGAAATGTCCCAGACACTGCATCTCGACCCCTGCATTGCCGTGGATGACGTGGTAGAGGGCCTGGAGGAGAGGGTAGAGGGGGGGGAGGGGGGAGAGAGAGGGAGAGGAGGGAGGGGAGAGGGAGGAGGGAGAGGGAGGGAGAGGAGGGAGAGAAGGTACAGTAAGAAGAAGAAAGGAGGGAACAGTTGTGAAAAAATGGTGGCAGTTTGCGAACAGACGGACGTGTCAACTGTCAACTTAGAGAGGGAGAAACAAACATGAGAAAGGGAAGGGAAGAGGAGAGAGGGAGGGAGAGAAGAGGAGAGAGGGAGAGAGAGAAGAGGAGAGAGAGAGAGAGAGAAGAGAGGGAGGGAGAGAAGAGGAGAGAGAGAGGGAGAGAAGAGAGGGAGGGAGAGAAGAGGAGAGAGGGAGGGAGAGAAGAGGAGAGAGGGAGGAGAGAGAGAGGAGGAGACCTGCAGAGTCATCTCCACATGCTGGAGTCTCTGGCTCTGAGAGGAGGTGTCAATGTCTGATGACATCTGAATCAGGGAGTGGAGATACTGCAGGGGGAAGAGGTGGTAACTAGCTGGGAATCTACTGAAGTACCGTACAGTACCTGAGCATTGGTCTCTATAAAGTTGAGAAGATCTGATGCGAAGCCCTTGGCATCCTGAGAGAGAGAGAAAACGCATCAAAAATATGAAGCTATTTCAAATATTTCTTGAACACTGAGCCTGCACCAGAAAGTGTACACCTATAAGTGTACATACAAAATGTTCCACATTCGCCTGTCCACATACACTAATGCATCCCAGTGACTACATTTCACATTCTCCCAATATTCCCACTCAACAGTTCATACCCATTACATCATAATGACATAATAGTGATCCCCTAAATGGAGGGTCCACCTCACCTCAAGGACGAAGGTGGGCTCTCAATAGTTAATACCCATTACATCATAATGACATAATAGTGAGCCTCTAAATGGAGGGTCCACCTCACCTCAAGGACGAAGGTGGGCTGTTCGTTGTAGACCCTGACATATATCTCTCCCACCACCAGTTCCTCTGAGAGGACATGAGTACCTGAAGTCCTCTCCAAACGATGGGTCACACTCCCCCTGCATTGTACACGTACGGGATACCAGGTGTTGTCTTTGAGACAGAAGTAATTTCGTTGTGCTATAAAAGATGTCACTCTTGGCGTTCGGGTGCAGGCGTGCACAAGAACAAACATCAGGCAAAGAACAACATCGTTTTGCCTTTGTACTTGGAACGGATATTGAAATACATCAGCTATATATACGGTATGTAGCTTAAGCTCGGTATTAAGTTTAATCCCTGCACCTTACAAAGAGAATGTGTCGGTACATAAGGAGACATGTTACTAAAGATAGAACTAAACAATAGCCCAGTGCAAGAATGGTCCATTTTCAGTAACAGTTTAATTTTGCATGGACATCATAACAGAGTTGCACACGTAAAGGGAATGTATGTGTCAGTATATATACACAAGGGCTAAATTTTAGGCAAATGCAATTAGCTATGCCCCTTATATAAAAGGCTAGAGAGAGACGTACAGTTCTAATGATGGACTGCTGCTGCTCCTCCAGGTACTTGGTGAGCTCCGCCCTCGTCCTGTTGTCCCAGATCAGGTACGGATTCTCCACGTTGCAGTTGAGGGTCTTCAGCAGCTGCATCGACGACAACAGATGATTGGTTACCATGGCAACAGGCCACACCTCATATATACCTCGTTAGTGGTGACCCTGGTCATGGTCTTGATGATGAAGGGAGTGAAGAGGGAGCGGATGACCTTAGTGACATTTGGGTTGTCTGGAGTTTGGTCTTCAGTTCCGACCACTGTATAGGGAGGGAGGGAGGGAGAGGGGAGGGGAAAGAGGTGAGAACAGAAGGGAGAAGGAGAGGAGAGATACCGGGAAAGTGAGGGGGAGAGGGAGAACAGACAGGTATGTATCAAACTGAAAGTATATGGAAACCAGGCTTTGAAATGGTGACATCATTGCACGACACCCAAACAACTCTACACAATAATATAGTAGAGTGCTATATACACACTACATTGTACTAGGTGTAGTATCTATGGTGGAGGAATATAAATAGCTGACCAATGATCCCAGCCAGTCTAGCAGTGCAGGTGATGCTGAGTCTGGCAAGGTTATTGGCCACCTCTTGTTGATTGCTCTGATCGCTGCTCTCCACCCCTCCCTCGTCCAGAGTGTAGTCATAGTTGAAGACGAACTGGAGGATGTGCCAGAGGAGGCCGGCATGGAGGAGTTGAGTCTGGAGCCACTGGTCAACACAGAAGGCAGAGCAGGTCTGGACCGTCACGCAGTTTAGTCTTGTCAGGTGCTGGAGGAGGAGGAGGAGGAGGGGGGGAGAGTGAGGAGGAGAGTGAGGGGTGTTACAACAAGCTCTTGCAAGTCGAGTTTTTTGCTATACAGTACAAACCAAGGGGTGTGGCTGAACAGTAAGGCTAGTGATGTTCGTATCCTTCCAACGATTGTGTCAAGTCGCTGCTTAATAGTGATTTACGGTCAAAATGGAAGTAGCATGCGGATATTACCAGATTCACAGCGCAGCAGCACACATGCACACACTACCACGTATCACAGTATTTCAGTGTACTCTGCCTGTCAATTGCAATGATTATTATTAAACTGTGAAGCAGCTTTTTTTCAGATTAGTTTGCTTCTGATCTGTAAGTTAAGTGTTTTCAGCGATAGGCATAATTCAAATGACTAGGTTTATCACCCATTTGACATACACTATATCACGACATACCTTGTAGTAGAGAATTCTGCAGATGTCTTTGAGAATGACGGGAACCTCAGTGATGGCCACTCGACAGGTTTCAAACTGAGCTGAGACTCTGAAACATCGACAGATGTGGGTACAGACCTGGAGAATGGGGGGAGGAGGGAGAATGGGGGAGGGGGAGACAGATGCATCAGCAGAGTAAGACACCATACACAGACCACTATACGCTTGATATATTCCAACACGTTTGGGACAGCAACTACAGCAGTGGTGGATCCAGGGGGGTTCCTTGGGTTCCGTGGAACCCCCCTTTTTGTCGTTTTGCGCGCATGCGTCGCCGGCCTCATGCGCCCATGAGTGCAGTCGAAACATTCTGGACAGCGGAACCCCCTTTCAAAACCCTAGATCCACCACTGTAAAGCACGCTAACACCACCCACAAATACTTTTCCGGGTCCATAAAATTCAGCCCCAAACGATTTTTAGTACGCACTCATGTGTGAAAATGTGTTTACTAAATCTCGCATCGAAGTGCCCGCAGTCCTGTTTCCGTGCAAACCGTGTACAAAAGTCTGTCTGTATGTACGTATGTGCTAAAAATTTTAGGCATCTCGTCTGTTGAAATCTACGTGTGTTAGAAGCCCTCGGGCCCTTCACGTAGCGTCCTCACTGCACTCGGAAGGCTACAATTTCCAGACTTGCTACTTGCTGTTAACTACTATTTAGTTAAACGGTATATATGTAGTTGCACATATCAGAGAGAGGAAGAAGAAAGGAACTGTAGGAAGGGAGAAAGCTGAAGGAGGGAGGGAGGGAGGGAGGGAGGGAGAGGTTACCAGACCTGAACAGCCATGTCTTTAGGAGTACTGGAAGCAGAGAGGACATCGACACACCGGGAGAAGGCTGCCTGGAGTGCCACTATACCATTCTCTCTCCTCAGCTCCTCAGCGTTGAGGGCACTGGTGTTCATCGTGTGAAACGTCACCTGAAGGGGGAGAGGGGGGGATGAGAACAAGAGAGAGGGTGCAAAATAGTTTGGGATACAGTGGAACCCTCCGAACAAGGGACACTATGGGACCAACGATTTTGTCCCTTGTAGAGAGGTCGTCCCCATCTCAGAGGTCAAATAATACACTAAAGTATTAGCATGGGGTTGAAACAAGCGTCCTTTGTAGAGAGGTCGTCCCCATCTCAGAGGTCAAATAATACACTAAAGTATTAGCATGGGGTTGAAACAAGCGTCCCTTGTAGAGAGGTCGTCCCTATCTCGGAGGTCAAATGATACACTAACGTATTAGCATGGGGTTAAAAAGGATCCTTTGTAGAAAGGACATCCGTATCAAAAAGGTCCCTCATTGGAGGTTCCTCAGTATGATACGCCTCCCTCTCTTTTCTTATTTCCAGCGAGGAAGAGGGATAGTGCAGGCTCAGTTACCAGGCTGAGGGATTGTACTTTACTTTTTATACTGTAGATATTTAGGCATTCATATGAAGAGAAAGAGGGAGAGAGAGATCGCTGGCGGAATTGAGCTAACGAGAAGGAAGAAGGGAGGGAAAGAGAGAGAAGAGAGGAGTGAAAGAGACCTCGCTGGCAGAAGTGATAGGAGGGAGGGAGGGAGAGAGATGAGGGAGAGAGAGGAGGGAGAGGAGGAGGGAGAGAGAGGAGGTAGGGAGAGGAGGGAGAGAGAGGAGGGAGGAGAGAGACCTCACTGGCAGGAAGTGAGAGAGGGAGGAGGAAGGGAGGAGAGGAGGGAGGAGGGAGAGAGGGGCGAGAGGAGGGAGTGAATGAGAGGATGGAGGGAGAGGAGGGAGAGAGAGAGACTCGTGGCTGGCGTGAGGATGGGTGCAGACTGGAAAACAGCTCATATCTCCAGTCTCCAGCTGAATGGTCTTGATCAACATCGGATACCCCGCATACTTGTACGGACAGCGTACGAACACACCACCCACACACACACACACTGGGGAGAAAAGAACATTTCTCGATGGAGTTACTTCCTTTTATACTCTTTGCATTTCCAAACTTATAGTGAAGTGTTATCAAGCTTCTTACAATCATAAATATTCAGCTACCCCATCGAAAATGTCACAAGTAGCACAAACCTTCATGCGAGTGGATGATCATGGACGGGTGACTGTTATACCCATGGTTCTATGAAAGCATGACGGTTACTCACGCAAGGCGCCATCAAATGTCCAATATGGATTAAGGCTACAGGTTCACAATATGTGCTATGACCCTGCTTTCGCGTGCCATCGGCATCATGTCTTGCCACAAAGGGATGTGATTCTAGCCTCCGACACATCGGCGCTATGTCAAGGAAAAACAACAAGGCACCCACGACGCCAACGGCGGCCGCTGGCCAATATGACATACTGCTGATGAGCTAGCCTAAGTCATGTTGGTAGTCAATTTGGTGGTTTGGTTTTTAGAGCGCTCGCCTGCGACTGCAGCAGTGTCGAGTTCGAATCCCAACTAGGGCAGCTCTTAATTTTTCCTTGGAAAAAAAGAGTGTTCGCGGTGTAGTTGGATTGTTGTTGTGCCTTTGCCTTTACCTCGTAGTTTTAACATGGCATTTCATGATACTAGTAAGCACCCTCCTCCCTCCTCTAACATCGGGCATATCTTGGAAGAGAATGGGATTGGGTCGAAGCAGAGAGACAATCCTCATTGGTATGGAACATGGTTCTATTGGCATTTTGGAGCGGACAGGAACTTATAGGCTTGTTCACGCCTCGATCTGTACTGTGGACGGGGGTGGAACGCCACCCGAGGCGCAGGGGCAAGAGAGCCCCCCCGACCCCCACACTCCTCTCCCTCGCTGTCCGAAAGAGTTTTTATAGCGCCTTTATTCATAGCCGTCGGCAACCCCTCCTACTCCTTCCACGCGCGAAGAGAGAGAATGAGGGGGAGTCGAGACCACGAGCGCCCCACCTAGCAAACTCGGTCGTGGAACCCACCTGGCGAGTGGTGCGCAGTAGCACGAGGGGGGTAAACAAACAACCAAAACTGTCCCGGGCATAGACCCACCCTGAAGAACCGGGATCAGCTCCTCTATCATTTCGCTGGTACGATATCGCCCCCTATGAAGGAGAAGCGGGAGAACAGAAGTGAGGAGAGAGGTGGGTGGGTGTCACTACAAACCTATAGACATTGCAGTGAAATAATTTTCACTGTGAAAGCCACATATTTATATCCGTAAGCAGGAGGGGTGTGAGGAACTTAAACTGTACGGTGAAGAACCACTGAAAATCCTGCTGCCACTGTGTCAAATTTGCCCATAGAGGACATGTCTATATACAGTATTCTAGTCTGAAGAACCTTTGTGTGAAAAAAAACTATGAGTTGAGAAGAGTGAGTTTGTAGGTACCTAGTGCTGATTCCCAGAGGGCCTATTGTGGGCTAGTGAAATATTGTACTAGAACAGGGAGCGACCAAAGATCTAGGAGACTTTGTACTGAGGAGGGGGGTGTGGCTTACTTTCCATAAGGGTTCTTGTCGGGATGGTACTTTCTGAGCAAGCGAGAGTCTCTTTCGTTTTAGTTAAGGTTTGAATTGAATAGGCCTTTATGAAGACAGTCTCATCAGACTGTGGAGAGAGATCGACGAGAGGAAAGAAAGAAAGAGAGCCCAACAAATCATAAAACCATCATTCAGGAGACACTACGGAAAGGATACTATAAG